GGCCCCCTCCCTGCCTCCTGCTCTGCACCCAGCCCAGCGCCTCACCTGGCTTCTTCTTGGCGGCCTCCTGGATCTGGATGCGCTCCAGCTCCGCCAGGCAGGGGGGCTCTGCAGGGACAGAACCGCCGCTGAGGGGCTGCCCCCTGGGGCTGAGAGGATGCGCTGTGCCCCCTCCCCAAGGCTTAGAAACCCAGGCAGGGGGCTCTGCAGGGTGGTTCAGGGGCTCTCCAAGTCGGACCCGGAGCCACCTCATGGGGGGGGTGGGGGGATGCACTGATCCCTTTAACATCCCGAATTTGACACAGGGGCACCACGAGGCAAATACCCAGGCTCCAACTGGGGGAGGCCATTCCAGGGCTGTGGGGTAGGCTGAGGCCCCCAAGAGGCCAAGGGCTCTCTGAGGGTGTGGGTGACCCATGGGGTGAGTTAATAGGATTCCAAAGAGGAGTGAACGCACACATTCCCCACAAGTATGGGCCCCAGGGGAACATAAGACAAGAGGGGATGTGAGTGGGAAGCCTGGAAATCACTGGCAGCCAAATCTAACTTGTCTGTGACCTTGGGAAGACCCTGAGCCCTTCCAGGGGGAGGCCCGGCTGAGGGTGAAATGAGACCTATTCCCAGGCTCCTGCCCAAGGCTGGTGCACAGAATCGACAGAAGGAGCGTCGGAGGCCTGGGGAGTAGAGGAGAGGAGAGGCCTGGAGGGGGCAGCGATGCAGATAGCGGGAGGCTGGGCAGTTAGGGGCAATCAAATGATCCAAAGCCCCCACTCGGCCGAGGGGTTTGTCCGTCACACAGTGCTCTGCGCCCAGATGGTCTCAGCTCAGCCTCACAGGGGTCTCTGAGGTGGGTCTTTCCTGTCCCGAGTCAGAAGGTTCGTCACCTGCCCAGGTTCCCCGCCAGCACACGCAGGAGCCCGGGCGGAGCCTGAGCCTCGGCCCCGGACGCTGTGCTGCTGTGACCCCACGAGCACCAGGGAGCCAGCAGGGCACCAGCGCCTCCCAGGGGCTGGGCGGGGCAGCTGGCCCCGGGGGACCTCAGCTTCCTCATTCATGACAGTTGCCACTTGGCCTAGATCATCTCTAGCAGGTGTTTGTGGTTCAGCAACTGATGCAACATCTCTGAGGCTAAAGGATCACACAGTGGAATCATGGAGAAGCCCAAGTCCCAAGCTGCTTTAGCTTCAGGCCCTCCCGCCCCTTCCAACACCCTCCACGGGTCCCAGAAATGATACATG